AGCTCCCCAGGTGAACCTTTGGCCCCAGCCAGCATGAGAAAATGCCCATCAGTGCGGTGCCTTGTTCCTATACTCAGGAGTCCAAGATAGTAAGATTGGTGACTGAAGCCAGCATGGGTTTCATAGTGAAGAGTGTTTCATATAAAATAAAATACATTAAGGCTGGCAATTTAGCTAATTGCCAGTAATTGCTTAGTACGCACAAAACCATGATTTCAGTCACTAGCACTGTAGAAACCAGGCATGATGGACCCACCTGTAATCCCAGCACTTGGGTAGTGGAGGCAGGATGATCAGAAGTTCAAGGTCGTGCTTGGTTACCTAGCCAGTTAAACACCAACTTCTAATACGAGACCCTGACTGAAAACCACAAAATACAAACTGTTATACCTCCAGAGCATCACCTATGAACCCCCTCTTCTGTTGACTATAACTTTCCATTCTCCCCTCCACAGTTTCATCTTAGGGAGATGGAGCAGGAAAGAGGAGGCAATCATTCTACAGACCTTGCTTTTCCTTTCCTTATGTTCACGAAGACCAAATAAAAGTGGGTATCTCCATCTGAACTTACAAGGCCCCTCCACCCCTGCTGGGTCACTGGTGTGCCAATGACAAGCTCTACCTCTTTTGGGGACCCTAGGCCGGCAGGAAATGTTAGGTCCTGAGGCCGACCCAGTGGTCCTCTCAGGAGACTGGGCAGAGCCCATCATAGACACTCTGCTTCCCTGGCCAGAGATTAAGTCAGGCCAATCTACTTCAAGTGTGCAGGGCTGTTTATCCACCTGAGTTTCTGAAGCTCAGTAGGGGTTAGAGCTCAGACACCTGCATCCCCGCCATGTGCCTAGCATACTTATCCATGAGTCTGGGCATAGACCACCTCAGTTATCTTCGTGAGACCCAGCCCAGGGCCTCTGAGGAAGGAGCCTTTGCTCATGAGGAGACCTCTGAGGAGAAGTCACTCTTCATCTGGATTCTTCATGGTGCTGGAGACATTCTTCACTTGTTATGTCTAAAATGGGAGCCACATGCCATGGCTCCCATGTGATTCATGTAACTGGTAATTTAGGAATTTCTACTTCATTTTAAGGCATTTAAATTTATTTTTTAGGATACATTTTTATTTTATTCATGTGTATCTGTGTGAGTGCATGCCACATGTGTGCAGGTGCCTGCAGAGACCAGAAGAGAACATTCGAGTTCCTGGAGCTAGAGTTACCAGATGGGAGTTCTGGAACAGAACTCAGGTCCTCTGGAAGACCAGGAAAGACTCCACTGAGCCATCTCTCCAGCCCCCACACATTTAAATTTAAATAACCAGTATCTAGCCAGTGGCTACCAGTCCCAGAATGGGCCAAGCAGTTCTAGATGCTGTCATATCCGGCTATGACAGCTGAACTCTGCTCCAGGCATCCTGCCATGCATCTCAGAGGGCAGAGTCCTGCTGGAACATATCTACCCTGATCATGGCCATGCCTGGTGACAGGGGGTGACATTTCCTTGCTGGTGAAGGGAGTTGGGCTGGTTGCTCACAGCTATTTTCAAAGGACAGTATCAGCTGTGAGCAGAACAAGAAAAGCAAATCTTGGTTTTGTAAGCCTGAGAGAGTTGATCACAGGGATGCAAGCAACCCTTGTATGAAAGAACTGCTCCTAGGAATGGTGACACTGCAGCTCTGAGTGACAATGTGAAGGAGTCTGCACTGTCCATCAGAGATGAGCCAGGGGCAGGAAAGGGGGTGCTCAGGTTTACATGTTACAGAAATCCCAACTTGCCCTTCCGCCTTTTTGACAGCCCCAACTCCTCTTCCTGAAGAACTGTGTCTTCTGCAGAGCTGGCTGAGTGCTCAGGAATTCCATTAGCCTATTTCATACTGAATTTTTTTTCTTTCCTCCAGTTTTGACAGTTGATATTGCTACATATAGTAGTCTGTTATCTTTCATAGTTCGAAGTGCACCATTACAAGCCCTCCTCCCTTTTAAAGTCTGTTGAGCAGAAACTACTGTTACTCTAGTGGCTTTGCTTTAAACACAGCTTGGAGCTTCTCTCTGGTCACTTTCAGTGTGCTTTCTTTGTTCCGTGTTTTTAGTCGCTTAAAAACAATATGGCAGTGGAGGTTCTGTCCTGCTTGTGTCTCTTTGGTGTTCAAAATGGCTCCTGTATCTTGGTTGGCATCTTTCTCTATTTTGGGAAATTTTCTGCAATGATTTTGTTGAAAATCTTTTCTAGGCCTTTTGAATAAGTCTTCTCTTATGCCCTGATTCTTAGATTTGGTCTTTCGACAACGCCCTGAGTATCTGACAGAACCATTCTATCTTCTTAATTTATCCTGCCTCTGTTGGGATATTCCAGTTCTTCCACTTGTCTTCAAGCACAGCTGTTCTGGCCTCTCCTTGATCTGTCCTGCTGCCCAGGCTTTCCATGAAGCTTCCTGTGTCTTACTTCCTGTGTCTTCATTTCCAAAGCAGCTTGCTTTTCTTCAGTGTTTCTACACCTCCCCCTGAATTCTGCATTTTTCGCATGTACTGAAGTCCTGACTTCATTCTGTTTTTTCTCTTGGGATTCATTCGGGAGTATTTCTTAAATGCAGGTACACAGAGGATAGGAAATCATCAAATGCTACAAAATCTGCAAAGTGACAGGAATTACTGCACAATTTTCAGTAATAGCTGAGTATTAGTGATCACAACTCCCCCAAATAAAGACACAGATGAGCAGAATGGATTTGAAGAGAGGAACTATCCATGGTTTACTAGCTCATTCTGGGGAAACGCATCCTCCAACAGCCTTTTAAGTATTTAGAAAAAAACCAGTGAAGCCAAAGGTGATGGCTCACACTTGTAATGGAAGCACTTGGGAGGATAAGCTTGATGATTGTTACAAGCTGAGATCAGCCTAGACCACACAGCAAGACGTCCCAAAAACCCAAATGAAAAAAATAAAAATTTTTTTGCTTTCACATTTTATTGATAGTTTGGTTGTGTTTAAAGTGTGGGGAGAAGCCAGGAGTGGTGGCACATGCCTTTAATTCCAGCACTCGGGAGGCAGAGAAAGATGGATCTCTGTGAGTTCAAGGCCAGCCTGGTCTACTTAGTGAGTTTCAGGCCAGATGGGGCTATAGGGAGACCCTGTCTCAAAAAGATATATATATATATATATGGAGAGATGGTTCAGTGGTTAAGAGTGCTTGCTGCTCTTCCAGAGAACATGAGTTTGGTTCCCAACACACACACACACACACACACACACACACACACACACACACACAAATTAAAAAAAATAAAAAGTCTTTAAAATATTAAATCAAGCCAGGGGTAGTGGCACTCAGAAGGCAAAGGCAGGACGAGTTTACATCATGTTCAAGCCCAGGCTGGTCAATACAGTGAGTTCCAGGTTAGCCAGGACTACATAGCAAGAGTCTTAGAAAAACAATAAACAAAGTTCTTTCAGAATTTTGCAAACTTGTAATTTGCAGTGTTTCTGAGAGACCCGGGCCCCTCTAAATCTTGACCCATCCTCCTTCCCTTTAAGATGCTTGTCGTATCTTCTCTTTGTCCTCAGTGACCTAAAATCTAATGATCTTCCTGGACATGAGCCTATTTCCATCCACTGTGTGCTGGGCACTGAACCCAGGCCTTGCCCATGCTAGCCATGAGCTCTATCCCTGAGACACATCCCATGCCACAATGGGCCCTTTAGTATCGATTCATGTTCTTTGCTTTCAGAAACTTTTCAAGCATTTCTCTGATGATTTTCCCACTCCATTCTTTTCTCTTCCCTTTCACCTCCCCTCCTTCTCACCTGCCCACCTCTGTCCTCTCTCTCCGCCTTTCCTCACTGACACAGGGTTGACCTGAAACACAATATGTATCCAAGTATGATCCTGAACTCCAGATCCTCCTGCCTCAGCCTCCCCAGTGGGGATTCCAGGCATGGGCCAAGGCACACTCTACTGCCTCATGCTCCTCCACTAAATTTGATTTTTTTTCCTCCTGGAATTCCTATTATTCTGAAGTTGGGCCTCTTAAAGTGGGGTAATTTTTAATCTTTTCTCTCCTGCATTTCCCTGTCCAGATTTTTCCATTTTTTTTCTTTTTATGTTGACAGAGTTGAAACAGCCTAGGCAGGCCTCAAATTTCATATGTAGGTAAAGATGACCTTGAACTCATCTGCTTGCCTCTTCCTCTCAAGTGTTGGGCTCATAGGCCTGTGCCACCATCCTGGGCTGTAGTACTGTTTCCCCCCATTTCCTCCAAGCTTTGTATTGAGTATTTCTAACATATATTGTATTTTTGCTTATTTTTCATTTCTGACTTTTGTTTGGTTTTTGAGACTGGGCCTCAGTATGTAGCCCTGGCTGGCCTAGAAGTAGCTATGACCAGGCTGACCTTGAAACTGTAGCAGTCCTCCTGCCTCTAGTTCATGTGTGCTGACAGTACAGGTATACACCACCACACCTTGTGTTTAAGTATATATGTGAATATATATGTCCCCTGTCGGTTACAGCTCATGCTTATCTGTGCCTAGAAGTGTCGTGTCCTCTCCTCTCAGTGTCCTGTCAGGGAACTAGCCCTGTGCACTCTCTGACTCTGGATGGTGGGAGAGACGTGTAGACATCTCAGGAGTTGGTGTGGACTCTAATATAAGGCAGAGCAGGTGACCTGGTCCAGCTGTGCATCATCTCTATAGATACCAGGCTCCAGGCTTCTGGTCCCCAGCAAAAGTTCCAAACTCTATTGAGGCATTAAAAGGCCACTACTTAATGAGTCTAGATTTTGCCACAAGGTAGAGCTCCCCTGGGGGCCAGATGTAGGTGACAACGATGGAGCAGTCATTGCACACAGATATTTCCAAGATTGGGCCTCAAGTTTTGGCTCCGCTACCAATTCTAATCAGCCCCATTCCCTTCCCCGGTTTTTCCGATAACACTTTGACGTTGGCTTTCTTGGTTTCTACAGCTTCTTGATGTCAGAAGTAAAATAAAACAACAAATACTACAGATCTCTCAAAGGATCAAATAAATAACAGTAATGTATTTACATGAGTATGTCTGTGGAGGAGAGTCCAGCACAACTGAGGAGTGGGAAACCAGGATTATGACCTGGTTTCTGTGGGCCTATGTAAGGATACAGTGAGGTTGGATAGGCAAGGACCCCTGGCTTGGGCTTCCTCAAGTCCAGAAGGCAGGGTGGGCTGGAGGCACTAAGCTACCTCAGGTAACAAGCAGCACCCCAGTTCTCCATCTGAGGAGCTAGCTACTCCTGGGGAGGCCAGGGGCCTTGTCTGACCATGGGCACTGGTGGGGGCATCCAGGCACAAAGTTCCTCAGTCCAGCAGCAGATAGGACAAACAGTTAAGATTAGGATTGGTGCCCTCTTGCCCTGAACTATGTGACAAGAGGGATGTGGAATTCATTTGTGTCGAAGATCAGCGGCCTCCTGGGCGGGTTTGGGTCCCTGTTGGCCTTGTGCAGTAGCTTGAAGAGCCCGGTTCCAATGTTCATCGGGATTCCCATGATGATACACTCGGACACACCTGGAACCAACCAGAGTCAAAGTTAGAGAGTGACTTACACACAGGAGGAACACTTACTGACCCAAGACTGCAAATGGGATTTGAGGTCCAGTTCTACCACATATCACCTGGCTGAAGGACTCATCCTTTTCCTTCTGGTCTATAAAAGCGGGAGCACTGTCTCACAAAGGACAGTGCTGCCTCAGTCCAGGTCACTGAAGGGCCTAGTCCGTCCAGCCAGTCCTCTCCTTGGACTCAGCATTTGAGAAAACTACTTAGGCAGTGAGGACACTATATAAGATCAAGGAATGGTGAGTTTTCTACCTGCCCTCCCTAGCTTAGGGCTTAGAAGTGTAGGTGACAATGCCCTCGGTAACGAGAGCAGACGGTGGTCAGCTGTGCTCAGAAGGGCTGGACCCCAAGCTGAAAAGACCCCAGTCCTTAGCAGGTATCAGAAGGCAGGCCTCCATGGAGTCAAAGCCTGGGAGGGGCTGCAGATTCCCTCTCCCAGCTCCAGTTCAGCTCTCATTAGATGGAAATGCTGGCTCTGTACCAGGGTTTTGATTCTACAAGAAGTAGACCAGTGGCCATTATGTTCTAGACTATGTGCTAAAAACAAAGGAAAAAGAAAATCAGAGACACAAAGAACCAAATTGAAAACCAGCATGGTGGGGCTAGAGAGATGGCTCAGGTGTTAAGAGCTCTTTCAGAGTACCTGGATTCAATTCCCAGCACCCACATGGAAGTTAACAGTTGTCCTTAACTCCAGTTCCAGGGGATCTGACACCCTCTTCTGACCTCTGCAGGCACTGTATGACACAGGTGAACTTACATACATGTAAGGCAATATACTCAAACACATAAAATAAAAATAATTTTTTTTTAAAACCAGCATGCAATGAGGGCTAATCCTGGGCTGCAGTGTGTTCAAGGTCCAGGTCCAAGAAGAGGGGCAATCTCCAAGTCAGGGAGGTAACAGCTGTACCAGAGCTGCAAAGGGGTCAGTGGTAGAAAGGCAGCAAGGGGTATGCTGGAGGATTTTAGTAAAGACCCAGCTGCCTCATCAGGGGTGGGTGCTAGGTCTCAGTTCTGGTGTCTGACAGCTGCACCTGGGCTTCTCACATTCTCTCCACACTAATCTATGTTTACTTTTCCTTTCTTTCATTATCTTTTTTGACAACGAAGTCTCACTATGTAGCCCTGGATGGCCTACAATTTGCTATATAGACCAGGCTGGCCTCAAACTCAGAGATCCACCTGCCTCTGCATCCTGAGTGCTAAGATTAAGGGTGCACCACCAGGCTTGGCTCTCCCTTTATCGTCTTTCTCTCTCTCCCTCATTTTTCTGGGGTTGCAGGTACTGAACTCAAGGCCTCTTCTATACTAAGTAAGCACTTTACCTTTGAGCTACATTGCCAATCCTCATTCCCCTACCCTGCTTTTTGTGTGCTGGGAATTGAACCCAGAGCTTTTCACATTTTAAACAAGACTATCAATGAGCTACAGTGCTGACCCTGTGTCTTTGATAGGAGAGCGGCAGACATAATAGTGCACAGTGGAATCTCATTTACTTGGGAGGCCAAGGTAGGAGGATAGCGAGTTGCAGTGCTATCTGAGCTACATAGTGAGACAGCTGGGGTGAAAAAAATCCTTAAGATTAAGATTTGGGACAAAAAAAATAGGTGCGGCAGGTGAATGAAGCCTTTTCTCACCATCCTCTATTAGCAAATCCATGCAAGCAAAGGTTGACCACAGCAAACAGCTACTAGGAGGCAGAGCTCTGGCTTGAATCCTTTTCAGGCTTGCAATATAAGCTTGGGCCTGACTGGTGTGGGTTCTGGGCCAGGTCACAGATCCTCCCAAGCTCCAGCCCCTGACTACTCTGTACCTTGGGCCTACAGGATCTTATGGGCTTGGGCTAGAACAAAGTCTAGTATTCAGGGACAGGGGAAGCCACGGTCAGGCAGACACTGCTGATAGCTCCCTATTTCATTCCACCTCGCTCAAGCCAACCTACCCCATCACATTTGACTTCCTGTATGGGGGCGGGGCTGGAATCAAAGTACAGTGCAGAGAGTGTCACAGCCCATTCCACTGTCTGGGTCTTGTCACTGAGAAAACACTGATCATCCTCCCAACTGGGGATTGGGCTACTCAGCACATGTGGTACCTGGCTCCTAAACTGCACGTTCACTGCCTTTCCCAGGAAGCAGGACAGCAGGCTTCTACCTGGTGGCTGTTCCACTCCTGTTAATCCTTGACGACACACAGGGTTAAAAAAAATCAGTGTAAGCCGGACATCGTGGCGCATGCCTTTAATCCCAGCACTCGGGAGGCAGAGGCAGGTGATCTCTGTGAGTTCAAGGCCAGCCTGGTCTACATAGTGAGTTCCAGGACAGCTGGGGCTACAGGGAGACCCTGTCTCAAAAAGACCAAAAAAAAAAAAGACAGTGTAGCCAAGGACAACTTCAAGGGCTAAAAGATCCCCATTAGCCGGGGGGGTCAACCTTTTTATATTTTGGAACTGAAACTGTCTGCACTGACAAGAAAGTAGCCAACTTACAGATGGGTAAGGGAGAAGCAGGGTGTCATAACTGGGCTCTGGAGACAAAAGGTCCATTGGTTCCATAACAATAGGCCTTTGACATTGCAAACCTACCGCACACAGAGTCCTTCTGCCCAAAGTAGGCGGCATCAAAGAGATGGTCAGCTGTCTTCTCAAAGGAGGCCAGCATCAGCACGCTCTCCTTCATCTTGGCCAGGCCAAACCTGGTGATACCCAGGACTTCACCCTGAGTCAGAGATGATGGTTAGAAAGGCCTCAAGCCACTCAGATCCTGACATCACATCCCCTACCTTCCCACTTGAGAACATGGCAACTTATGCTGCTTGTGTGTTTAGTATGGTACTGGGGCTCAAATCCAGGGCCCTCATGCACACTAGGCAAGTGCTCCAGGACTGACCTACATCCCCTGCCCTCTCTCTGGCTACAGAGGCAGCACAAAAAGATGGGTTTCAGGAACCAACACTGGGTCATCACAGGCATCCTATTTTTGACAATGGCTGGTTTTGCTGTAGGGAAAGACTCAGGAAAAGGACAAAAGCCATGTTCCAGCTTTCCTCCTCCAATAACTGGGTGTTTGTCATGTAGAGCAATTCTCACACTGGGACTGGACCAGAACACCTGGCCCCATTACCACACTGGTTTTTCGGTGATTGTTAACATCTTATTTTGTCTCAAAGCAGTCCTTACAGCAGTGTGGTTTACATGCCATAGGAGCTCCACGACTGTTTTCTCTTGGCATTGGATGTCAAATCCCCTGCCAACCTGTAGTTTCCTCATACCTTGTAGGTCATCAGGTCAGAGAGCAGCATCACGTGCCTTCTGTCAATACTCATGCCATGGTTGACCATTGTGTACTGGATTTCATTGATGATAGTTGTCCGGGCAGCCTCGATGCCCAGGGTTTTCTCCACCTAGGGGGAGCTGGAGATGAGCGGGGGCAGACACTTCTGGATGCTACTGCACTCCTATTTCTTCTTCTGCCTGACAAGTGCAAAGCAAATCTCCAAATGGATTGCTGTGCAACTGCTAGGGGAAGACGGGACAAATGCCAGGATCAGGAAGTGTGCTGGCTATCCGCTGAGTCTCCTGAGGTGGTATGGGGGAGCAGCCTAGCACTGAGGGGACTCAGGTTGAGTGGTACCTCATAGGTGTTATTGGAGGTGGTCCGGGTGCCCTTCACACCGTGGGTGGCCATGACAGCCCGCAGGTTGTCACCCTCTACCAGAAGCTTATACTTCTCCTTCCCACTCTGCTCGTCGATGTGGATGACTGCTCTGGACACCTCTGGGATGCCCTGTACAACCACCTGGATTCAAACACAGAAGCTCAAAACCCTCAGACCCTCAGCCCCACCCAAGAGCCACAGAAACCACAAGACTGCAAGAATAGAGGCACCTTGTCCATTCTATCCTCAGCTATGGTCAGCAGTAATGCACATAACCTGGGAATGCCTACGTGCTGTCTGCTGTCAGGACAAAGACAGTGCAGCGGACTATGACCACTCTACCGTCTAATGAGAGCAGAAAGGAATCTCATCAGCAGAGCTGCGAGTCAGCACTAAGACACAATCTGACCAAGCATGCCAGCGAACCATTGTTCAGTAGGTAAAGGCACCTGCAGCCAAGCTTAACAATCAAGAGTTCGGTCCTCGGGACCCACAGGTGGAAGGACTGATACTCACTGATTTCTGCAGGTTGTCGTTTGATCACTATGGCATGACCCGTCCCAATAAATAAATGTAATAAAACATTAAAAAAGAAAAATTTGACTGATCCTTTGGGGAGATGGTCATGAAGACTATAGCACCAAGAACTCATCCTATCTCATAGTGACCTGGTTCCTAAGCCCCACTCTGGCTGTCTCTCCATGAGCAGTGGCTTGGCCTCACCTTGGGAAGATCTTCTTTCAGGAACTGTAACACATAATACATGGAACTCTTGCTGTTCTCCCTTGGGGTAACGCACACCACAGCCTCACCATGAACAGCCACATCACCAGGCTTCACTCGGAGCTTGGAAGTGCAGATGGAGTACCGCACTGTCTCAGCGTTCACCTGCAAAGCACCAGAGGATGTTACCAGAGGACATCTGCAGACCTCTGTGACAATGGTTTTCTTTCTTTTTTTAAAAATTTTATTTATTGTTATCTTATGTGTATGTGTGTACTGCTTGCATGTAGATAAGTGCACCCATGTCGTGCAATGCCCACAGAGGTCAGAAGAGGCTGTCAGATCCCCTGGGACTGGAGTCACGGACAGTTGTTAGCTGCCATGTGGGAGCTGGGATCCGAACCCAGGTCTTCTCCAAGAACAACCAGTGTTCTTAACCGTTGAGCCATCTCTCCAGCCTGATGACAGTGGTTTTCATCCTTGCTTTTATGGTGGCTCTTTAAAAGCCCTTTTAGTTATTTTTGTTTTGTCTCCTTTACTAAAAATTTATTTATTTCTGTTTTATATCCGTGTATGTGTGTGTGTGTGTGTGTGTGTGTGTGTGTGTGTGTGTGTGTGTAAGTATATGCCATGTGTGTGTTAGCACATGTGAAAGCCAGAAGAGGGCATGGATTCCAAGGAGCTGGAGAAACAGGCAGCTGTAAACGACCCTGTGTGGGTACTGGGAACGGAACTTGGGTCCTCTGAAAGAGCAAGAATCGATGTTAACCATTAAGTCATCTCTCTAGATGCACATTTTTAATATACTACGTGTTTATGCTCTGTGTGCATATCTGTGCTTTATTCATGTAGATTCTTTTCACCAAAAGAACAAGCATTTACCTCACTGAAAACCCATGCTCAACTCATGACAACAAACCAGGACCCTTGGAAGAAGCTCCAGAAAGGCTGGAAGCTGGGGGACTGGAAGTTCTCTCTAGAGCCTCACTTTTGTTGGGTGTGTGCTACATCCCCAGATATTCTTCATTTTCCCCTCTGGGTCCAGGGATAAAACTCAGGACCTTGTATATTAGGCAAATACTCTCCCACTAAGGTTCATCCTAGACCTATAAATCAATTCTGCTAACAAAGCCACAAGGGAGACAGCAAGAAAGACTCAGCTGTCATTTGGGCACCAGACGGTGGTCTTTGAGAGTGGCTTCCAGAACCCTTTAAGAATAAGACAGGCATAACTACCCAAGGGAGAGAAGACGGTGTCAGAGTTATCAGTCTGAAATCCCCACTCACCCCAAGACCCTGAGAAACACTGATATCATTCAACTGTTACCTACCTCCATAAATACCAGGGTAAGAGGTCAGGTTAATCCACCCATTGAAAACGTTTACCAAACCAGCTGCCTCAAGCTCCTTCCACACATGAGAAGATGAAGGAGACCAAGGTCATGTGATGGTGAGTTGCTAGTGTGGCCTGAACCAAGTCTTGACTTGTTTCCTGTGTATCTACAGATGGCCATTCTATGTCAGGGTCAGCTCAGAAAGAGAAGGTGACCAATGACAAGAGACCAGTCAAAGCCTCTGCCCCGCTTCTCTGGCTGTGTTATTTTGCCCTGGTTTGTCAACACCTATCTCAGGACCCACAGGATCACCTCCTTCACACACTTAACTCCATGACTCACCTCCAGTCTCAGAAGTCGGATACGTTCTAGGGAGAGCTTGACAAGAATAAAGCAGTCATCAGGAAGAAACACTTCCTCAATGTACTCTGAGATCTGTGGTGGCAAAAGAGCAGTGTCAGCCATCCCTCTCCTGCCCACTCCTTCCTCACCCTGGCGCACAGGCTCTCTCACAGTCATGTGGTCCCTGCTGCAGGCTCCATCTACAGTGGCTCTGGCACTTCCTCCAGCACTGCAGAGCCCATTTTCTATCAAGGATTTCTTACCTCCCCCAGGAGGGTTTTCTCAATTCTTCCTTTCACCAGGCGAGCATAATCCGCATCATCATCCCTGTCTAGTTGGGCTGTGATAATTGGAGTGCTGCAAGGAGGTGAAACAATTACCACACAAGGAAGAGGGCCAGACTGTGCACAGAGCACTGCTAATCTGAGTGCTATTTACAACCATGAGACAGCACCTGTACTTAACTGTGCACTCACTGAGTGTCAGGCTTGCTACAAACGTGCTCCCATCAAGGTTTACGAGCTTCTGGAGACCCCAGGGGCTTACTCCATCAGTGAAAAGGCTGTAAGAAATTTTATTCTAGACAGGTGTGATGGTGCATGCCTTTAATTCCAGCACTCGGGAGGCAGGGCCAGGCAGATCTCTGCAAGGCCAGCCTAGTCTACATAGTGAGTTCCAGGCAAGTTGAGGCTACAGGGAGACCCTGTCTCAAAAAAGATTTATCCTGACAGAAAGAGCCCTGCCTCTTCTCTGCTTCTCTGGTCCTGAAACACAGTTCTTGAAATTCTGTTCCCTGGCGAAACCAACTCTTTATTTCACGTTCTTCTGTCATCCTCAGGGAACACCTCCTACTCTGACCATTAATACCATCTGTCTTCACAGGGGAGGGCATCCCCTGAACACAGGTCCCTGGACTGATCTGACTAGCTTGCAGGAAGCAGGCACAGGTGAAATGATTTTTGTCACTGAAAGCAATATATCTCTACTTCTGTCTTGGATCTCCTGAAGATCTGATTGAATCACTACAGGCTTACAAAACATGGCCATGGGCCAAGCAGGAAACACATGGATCAGGCCTACTTGGGCCTGAGATGACATCAAAGAGATGAAATGTCTACTGACACATTTTTGGTATGTTTTAATGTTTTCTCTTTCATGTAACTGGCAGTCATAAAAAAACAAAACAAAAAAAATCACTATTTTTTAGTGATAGGGTCTCTCTGTAGCCCCAGCTAGCCTGGAACTCACTATGTAGACAGGGCTGGCATCAATCTCACAGAGATCCACTTGCCTCCATCTCCTGGGTGCTGGTATTAAAGGTGCGTTCTATCATGCCCAGATCACTGCTTTAATTTTGACTATATTGCTTTGCGTTGAGTGACCTTTCAAAAATCCAAAATCTGGGGCTAGAGGGATCGCTTAGTAGTTGAAAGCACTGGCTGTTCTTGCAGAGGACCCAGGTTCAGTTCCCAGCACCCACTTAGCAGCTAACAACCGTCTGTGGCTCCAGTTTCAGGGAATCCAGAGCCCTTTTCTGACCTCTGTGGGCAATGCACAACATGGGTGCACTTACATGCAATAATAAAATATTTCTTAAAAAATTCAAAATCTGGCTGAGTGTGGTGGCATACACCTTTGATCCTAGCACTCGGGAAGCAGAGGCAGGCAGATCTCTGTGAGTTCCTGGTCTACATAGTGAGTTTCAGGCTATCTGGGGCTACAGGGAGACCTGTTTCAAAAAAAAAAAAAAAAAAAATCCCCAATCTGATCAACATAGCAAACCTGCCCCTGAACATCAGACACTATCTGGTTAATAAAACATTGGCATTCACAGGCACGAGGATCACTGGTCCTCAGGAAACATGCCAGGGAGTAGCTACCTGATGGCCTTGGAAGCGTTGATGATCTCTTTGATACGAGGCACACCTAAGGTGATGTTCATGGAGGCCACACCTGCAAAGTGGAAAGTCTTCAGGGTCATCTGGGTGCCTGGCTCACCAATGCTCTGTGCACAGAGTGCGCCCACTGCAGAGCCTGGCTCCATCTGTGCCCTAAAAAAGATGGAAGAAGATACAATGTAGCAAAGGAAAGGTCAGAATATGCTGGGGACAGGCTTCTTCTTACCTCCCAACAGGAAACAGATAGATGCTATTTGGATTAGGATGGAAATGGCAACAGGCCAGGCTGTGTTTGTGCTAGAGGAGGAAGCTGGCACAGGCCAAGAACAGGTGCCATCAGGGAAGTGAAATGGTCAGAGGGGCTGACAATGCAAAAGAATTCTATGTGGTCAGCATGTAATAAATAGGTGGTCTCAAATGATAGTAAAGGTGGTCAGAGAGCTGGCATCTGCCATATATTTCTTCAGGGGCAACAATACTTGGGAAATTTCTTTGCAATTCCATTCATGTCTAGGAGCATTCAGTCATGCCCCACTGGAGACCCTAAATGTGAGGTACATATCAGCTCAAACCCTGTCAATAAATGATGTTGGGGCAATATGCTAGTTGGGTTTTATTGCCAACTTCATACAACCTAGAATCATCTGAGAAGCGGGAATCTCGATGTGGGCATTTGTGGGGGCAGCTGTCCTGATTGCTAAATGAGGTAGCTTCCCACCCTGAATGTGGGCAACAGCACTTCATCAGCTGGAACATGAACTGTGTAAGAGTGAAGGCAGGAGGCAGGGGGTATCCAGAGCTCTGCTCTTAACTATGGATGTGAGATAACTAGCTGCTGGAGTTCTTGCCTTGACTTCCCCAAAATGATGGCATTTAAAATAAACCCTTCCTCTCCTAAGTTGCTTTAGGTCAGGGTATTAGCACTATAACAAATGAAACTAGAACTGGCAGGGCCCTGAAGCCTTGGAGAACAGGAAGGGCAAGACAGCCCTGCACAGATGCCTGGCAGTCTAAGACAGTCAGCATGCCCACCTCATGTACTTGTCCCTGCAGGTCTCCAGGAACTTTTCAATTTGAGTGGGAGTGATCCGGTCCAACTGATAGAGTACACAAGGCTAAAGGGACAAATGCCAAATGCAGAGTTAGGGCCAGAAACACCTGCAAGAATCTGTGTCCCAACACATCTGGGAAGGCAATTACCTCCGTTGTGCCATTATCATTGATGCCATATTTATCTCTGGTTTTCTTGATCTTCTCAGAAACCCCTTTAATGAATGCTTTTATTTCCTAAGATTAAAGAGCAAACAACAGTTGTGTTCCTCAATAATTTCAGTAGCATTATCCCTCCATAACCATTATCACTTCATCATACACTTCAGCAATGTATGCAGTGTGCCCTATTTCAGGGTTAACTAAATATACATATGCAAGGATATAGATATCTGCATATTGGTTCCTCCTAAAGTGCGTTTCTGAGGTGCACACCATGCCATCTACACTCAGGACACTGATCCCCCTGTTAGGCCTCTTTACCCAACCTATTCCCACGAATTATTATACCTGGCCTTTATCTATACATAGGCCTCACCCCTATGGCTGTGGGAGTTCACCATTGCACTCTTCTAACGCACACAGCCTACACTCCCACACTCAGAGCAGACATGACTTCACTTTTGTGCTTTTCTCCTCTGGAATGATTCCTGAGGGTCTCTTTAGAAGGTATGCCTTCACTTTAAATATCATTGCCTGAGGCAAACCTCTGTAGATACAATATACGTTTCAAGTGTACCTTCATTTCGAAGAGAACACTGGCCAATCTCAGCTATCTTCCCTGGGCCTCCCCTCTGCATCACAATTTCTCAGCCCCACACTCCCTTGCCAAATAAGAACTCACAGGATTCCTGGAAACCACTCAAAGCCAGATGAGGGACAATAGGCAGTAGGCTACCTTGGATTGGCCCAGGTTGTTTTTGAGAATGTAAAGAAGAGTAGATAGAGGGTGCTTCCCTTCAGCAGGCCCAGAAATTTTATAAGTTCCCTCAATGGTTCTGGACAAATCATGGTGGCAGTGAGCCTGAACAGCATTTTGTTGTACATGGCTGGCCATGGACACACAGACATACACAGGCAAGTAAGTAGGCTGGTGTGAGGGTGGACTGCACAGTGTGGTAGCCAAAGATGTCTCATGAGCTCTAGATTCTCCTGGGTGGGCTGCAGGGCCCCCCTGGGGAAAAGGTCAATGTGCCCTGCTCAATCTACAACAACACAATAATATGGTTAAAATGTCCAAATGTTTTCCAGCAGACTGAACCATAAGCCTGATTTCAAAAACAAAACCCTATAAAGCATGTACTAAGAGCTTATGACTTCCTAGCCCCATTCTATCTTAACCTTGCTAAAAAAATTTTGTTTAGCTTCCCACAAACTACCCAGAGATTTCTAGTTACTGACTTTTCTTTAAAGCAAAACATGAGAACTTTTTTGTTGTTACTATTTGAGACAGGGGTTTATCAGTATGTTGGCCAGGCTGGGCTTGAAACTCCTGGTTCACGTGAGCCTCCTACCTCATCCTGCCTAGTAGCTGGGAACACAGGTACATGCCACCATGCCTGACTGTTCTCTTATGCTTAAACAATCTTAGCATCCATGTCCACATAGCACATAGCTCACATGCCTTTCCCAGCCAGCTGCTTTCTGGCTGGAGTGTCCTTCCTGTGAGGTAGTCTGACATTCGCCCCACCACTCTGGAGTGGAGGGGGCTGAGGGTGTGAAAAATCAGATAGTGTCTCAAAGTCTACTGTCTGGGCAGAGGTTTCTGTGACACTATCTTTGATAACTGAGAAATTTAGTCTGACTGGGCATGTGTGTGTGTTGCGGGTGGGAAGCACACCCTGATAATACCAATACTCAGGAAGCCACAGCAAGATCTTAAGTTCAAGGCCAGCCTGGGCTATAGTGAGACTGTCTTAGAGAACAAAGAAAAGGAAGGGAAAGAAAAGAAGCAAAAAAAAAACCAATTCAGGCGGTTTCCCATAAGCCAAGATGACCAAGGGCTACTGGGGGTCCATCCCGCCCTCACTGTCTCTTTCCCATCGTCATAGCTTCTCATGGTTATCCACTCTACTCAACTCTTTTTCTTCCTGTTAGAAAAGTATGGAGACACAGGGAGGGTGACCTTGCAGGCCAACCATGCTTCTACACATCAAAGATTTTTAAGAAACAACTTCATTAAACTGCAAACTGAAATTTCAGAGTATGTTAAAGAAAAACTCTGGGCCAGTAAGATGGCTCAGCAGGTAAACGTACCTTTTGCCTGACAACCTAAATTTGATCCCCGAGACCCACACGGTGGAAAGAACTGACTCCTGAAAGTTGTCCTTTGACCTCACATGCATACCACAGCAAGGTGTGCATCCCATCCCCAAGTAGTTAAAAATGTAATAAAATTGGCCGGTGTGGTGGTGCATGCCTTTAATCCCAGTAC